GAGACTCTGTTTCTAAGTAAAATAAAAAGGACTGGGAGTTATCTCAGTAGTACAGCATTCCTAGGTTCAATCCCTAATACCAAAAAACAAACAAACAAAAGCAAGAGGACTGTATGATCAAATATCTCAATAAACTTTTTATACGGAGTAAAGATAAGAGTAAGGCTACAGCTGTAATTAGAAAAGAAGATGTAATTCACATTAGCCCAGAGGGGAATACAGTTGATATTTTGTGGCTTAGACAATATTAAAGATTTATCTGTATTCAAATGTAATTACAGTGGTCTTTTTTCATCTTGATTCTCATGGTCACAGAGTAATCATACCTGATGTTGATATTCTGCCAGATTTTTATATTCAGTAGGAGAGAAATGAGTGTTAGACCAATTTGTAGTAACACTGAGGCCTAGTTGATAGCATTTGGCAAACTGGGGTGTTAAGCGCTATTGCTGTTGTTTTTCTCAAAACACTAGCATTAGCCTGGTAGGGCTGCCATAACAAAATACCACAAACTAGGTAAGTTAATAGGCATTTGCTTCTCACACACAGTTGTGGAGGCTGGAAGTCCAAGATCAAGGTATCAGCATACTTGGTTTCTCCAGAGGCTTCTCTTCTCACTGTCTCCTCATATGAGCTCTCCTCTGTTGTATCCTCCTCTTTTCACAAGAATACCTGTCCTACTGAATTAGAATCCACCCTTTCTTATGACCTTAATGAAACTTAATTACCCCTTATCTCCAAATAGAGAGATTAGGAGATTAGGGTTTTAACATACAAATTGGGGGTGTGAATATAATTCAGCCTATAATAGTGTTCAATAGTAACCTGTGGCCAGTCATTCTATATAAAACAGCACAGTTACAGATAATGTGATACTGATTCTCTTCCCTAGAGACTTGTACTGGCAGGAGAAATTTCTCAATAGAATCAGGAAGATTTTAGAATTTTCACTTCTAATAAACAAGCTCTAAATTTTCTTTGGTCCCTATGTTATACTGACTCATAGAAATGAGTTGTGAAATTAGTGTTAAGTGTCCCTATATTGTATATTAGACTACTTAGGTAGATAAAACACCTTCCTATCTTTTAGCATTTCTTAATGTTCAATGTACCACTTCTTTATAATAAATTTATGATGTGTATAAGATACTTAATTCTGAGCCGGACATGGTGGCACATACCTATAATCCCAGTGACTCAAGAGGCAGAGGCAAGAGGATTGAAAATCCAAGGCCATCCTGGGAAACTTAGCAAGACCCCATCTCAAAATAAAACAAAAAAAGTTGAGGTGTAGCTCAGAGATGTAGTGCTTATGGGTTCAACATCCAGTACTGCAAAAGAAATTTTTAAAAATATACTTTATCATTCAAAATCACTCAAATCCATCATTATACAAAATACATGTATGAAGATGTGAATTTGGTGTCAACATACCTTATATACAGAGATATGATAAATTGTGGTATAAAGGTGTATTAAGAATTGTAATTCAAAAAAAAGAGAGAGCTCATGTATAATGGCATAATTTGGCATGAACATACTTCATATACAAAGTTATGAAAACTTGTGCTGTGAATGGATAATTATGAAGGTAACGCAATCCACTATTGTCATATATGTAAAAAATAAATAAAAATAAATTCAAAAATCACTCAAATGGCATTCATGCCAAACCAGTAGAGTCAAAACACAGGCCCTGTCTCCATGTTAGGTATACCACAGTGTCAGAAAGAAGATGAACTTTCTATATCTATTTCCTATTATGCCAGTAGCTTTATTCAAAGGAAAGGATAGGTCATGAAAGAGAAGCAATACTATGAGTATTGCATGGAACTAGGAGTAGTTTCCATGTTGTCTGAAATTAAAAAAAAAAAAAAAAAAAAAAAAAAAAAACATTCTTCAAAATAATCTTTGGTTTTCTGATTTTGAAAAGAAAAAAAATTGTTAAAATTAGCTATTTGAAAACACGACTTTCCTTTAAAATTTGGGTAATTTGGCTACTATAATCTATATAAAGATGAAAACAAAGATATTGAAATTTATCTATATCTTGAAGATTTTGAATTTTGCTTCCAACACTATTTGAGTTGCACTTGACCTTGTCATTAAAAGCACATTAAAATGATGACTTTCTAACAGTCTATACTACCTCCCCTCCTTCATCATCAGAATCTATCTAAGTCATGGGAGACCTTCCTCCTCTAAATCATATTTGAGTATGTGAGGAAAGAACACCAACACACACTTAGTTTTGTCACCACATAAATCTTGGCATTAAGAATAGAACATATCCTAAAAGACTAATGCTGTTTCAATGTATTTAACTAGTGAAAGAAACCTGTTCTCTTTAACGGCTAGCATATAAATATATGAGAAGTAGTGTTCACTCATACAAAGAACCTTATGCTGTATTATTTATCAGAATGTCACCATTCATTACAGATATTTCTAATATATGGTACATATTTAATTCACCACAGTCTATGTGTTTCTAGTGTCTTATAATAGAGAGAAGTTCTAATGCTAGATTTAGTCTCTAATTTCTCAAGAAAGAAGGGCTCAGGAGGTAACATTTTTCACATCTGAAGAGAGGAATGAGCAAACCTGTACTGGCCACTTCACTGAATCTCTTAAAATGGACATTCCATGATAGGGTCCACTCTAAGCCAGATTGCCAGGATGCCCTTAATGGAGCACTACAGAGGCATGTCTTCTTTTTGGCAATGATTTCTTAAGTAAAGGCTCTATGTCTAAAGACAAAGGAAAATGGGTGAGTATTTAAGTGGACAAAGTTGATCAAGAAAGAGCATATTACCAAAGGATAAGAGTGGCAGTAGGTTGTTTCTGGGGTTACAGTTTTCGCCAGTTGCAGAGAACATTGACAGGGAATTCAGAAGTCAGACTATTGGTTCCTTCAAGGCTTCCCATGATACCAGAATGTAGGGAAGTTCTAAGAAAAAAAGTTTCACCTTCTGAATCTGGAATTTGGAACACAGTCCTCCAACATGGCAATCAATAGAAATGTCTATGATAAAGACAATAATTGAATGTTGGAAAGGATAAGTCATGAAAGAGAAGCAATACTCTACACTATTAACATTGATATCAATCCAATAAGGAGACTTTACCCACTGTAAGGAAGGAGAGTTGAAGAAATAATTCATACTTTTTTTATTATTATTCTTTGGAATGTTGGAAATTGAACCCAGGGCCTCACACAGGTAGGCAAGTACTCTACCTTTGAACTCTAACTCCAGCCCCCAAATAATGTTAAAGCATAAATTATAAAGTCATTTCATACATATTGCCCCCATTTGATACAGTCTGGCTTTTAGAGTGGAGCTATTAAGTGATATGTCTGAAGTTACAGATCTCATCAGTGGCAGAATCAGTGAATACCTTACCACCCTCCACTATGCTCACAGGGCAATAAAAAAAGATAAATTCATCTTAGCTGTATTTGGATGAAGTACTATATGGTCTACAATCAGAATAGGCTTGGGAAAAAGGGACATTATCAGATAAAGGCCACAAAGTAGCAGAGCCATAGTAGGCAAATATTTTTAAAGAAATGTTCTATTGGACAAGAGGCATAATACAGCAGAAATGGTACAAAATTCTGTACATTATCCATGGACATTACAGGCAGCAAACAGATAGTAGGAAACAAAGGAATAAGGTAAATATGGAGGGGCCAGGAGTTTCAAAACAAAACTATTCAAGGGTAAGTAAAAGACAAACGTGAGGTCTAAACAGCATGCACAGAGCGTGGAGATTCGGCAAGATTACATAATGAAGTCAAGAAAGTGTAACGACAAACACTAGCGCAGCCAAGTTGAAGAATAAAAGGGCGATTGCACCAGAGATTAAGATAAATAAAATAATAAGGCATTGTTCCAGTACATACGGAAGAAAAGGTCAATGGAAAAATAAACGGGGCCTCTGAGAGGCTACTGAGGTAATTGACAGAAGAAGCAGACAAAGCTCCTTTAGAGAAAAAAATGTAACTGGAGGCCTTGGTTGCCTCAAAGCTCCCCAAGGCTAGTAGGAGGGAGAAGAGACTGGAGCTGGGGTCAGCAACTAGACAGATCCACAGGGGGTTGTCAGAAGGAGAAGAGAAGCTATGTATTAGGGTGACCATAATATGAAGGGCTGCAGATGGAGAAGCACCTCCACCCCTCACCTTACTGAAACCATGTCCAAGACATTGCAACAAAAGTGAAACAGAAACCTTTGGAGATATGGGAACATTAAGTCAAAGAAGAATCCCAGGAGAGCAGAAGGGTACCCTGGAATACATTAACAGAGGATGGGTGTGAAGGAGAAGCTAAGGGCAAGTGTGGGAGGGGAAAGGCAGGAGAGATTGATGGAGAGGGAGGGGGCAAGTATGGAGAAACAAAGGGAGGTCAGATAGAGACAGAGACAGAATAAATGAAACCTTAAAATCCAAAGTTCAAACTAGTGATTAAGCCAGGAGGAAATACTAATTAGTCAAAAAAAGAATAAGAATAGAGTGTGGGGGGAAATGAACTGTTCAAGTCTGTGGATCCCAAATGAGCTTCTTTGGACTAAATGGATGCAAGCATCTGAGTTCTAACTCCAGCTCTGGCCCTGTGCCTTGACTGACAGTGTGACTTCATACTTCAGTAAAGCTTAGGATCTGGTGGCCTTTAACATCTCCTCCAGTCAGATTTTCTTTGATGCCATTTGTCTAAGGTACTACAAAATGGACAGTGGGGAAGAAAAGGTCCTTATTAACAGAACATCTCTCTAGTAGCCTACCTAACAGCCTCCCTTTTTGTAATAATAACAGCCAACATTTAAGTTCTTTCTACTGTCCACACCGACCTACAAGGGTATATAGCCACTACATAGATTTAACTAGTGCTAAGGATGGAACTCAGGGCCTTTAGCATGATAATCTCAGCTATAATATTCACTTAACTCTTGCAACAGCTGTTCAAGCTAAATGTCAGTATTTTTCCCATTTTACAGATGAGAAAATTAAGCAAAGTCTTCAGATAAAATCAGGATTGACAGCCAGGCCCTGTGGTTCCAGAGCCAAGACTCCTGCGGTTGGGTTTCAATTGGCAACCTCAGTTGCTAGGAGGTCCCGGAGGCCAGCGCTGGATTCGCAAAGCCGAAGCTGCCCTGCGAATGGAAACCCGGTGCAAAAGGAGATTGGCAGGTATAGCTGGCCACCCCTGGGGCCGAAGATTCAGAAGGGGCCGACTGGAGCCTCCGGAAACAGAGGTAGAGGCGGACCAGCTTGGGAAGAGACCACCCTGGAAGCCGCGCGTCTTTCTCTGTGACTTTCTAAAACTAAAGGTAAGAGCCCGGAGGCTTAATTTACTGCGGAGATAGTCCAGACGACTTTGGCTGGAAGGTGTCAAAATGACACTGTAAAAGAAACTTGGACCAGGCAGTCATTGGGTGTTTTAAAGAGTTTAGAGAGCAATAGGGGAGTATAAAAGGAGGAAATTGAAAATTTTGGAAAAGTTTAGACACAGCAGCGAAAGTCAGAAGATGTAGGAAAAACTTTGGAATTGAAGCCAAAATCACTGAGTTCAAGGTCCCATGTAACGTTGGCGATCATTCACAGTTCTTTCAGCTTCACTTTCCGGGGCTTGCCTACCTGATCCCGTGGAGTAGAATAGGGCGATGGACGTCTGGGGTCTTAAGTAATTAACCGCCAGGTACTTCGGTTTCCTCGTCTTTGCGAAGAGAATATGTTTGCACTAATACCTACCTCATCCTATTGCTGTGAAAATAAAATAATATAAATGTTTTTAAACGGCTGGCAACAGGGCCTGGCTCCTATGATAAGTGCTCAATAAATATTTGCTGTTACTGTTGCTTTGTTGTTACTCTTTCCTCTACAAAAAGAGGATAATAATCATACATTTCCTTCCTACTTGAGTGGTGAAGAGGCGTGTTCTCAGGTTCAAATGAGTCAATACCAATAAAAAGCGCTTGGTAAAATGAGGCTCCCCGTACAATCCGAAGGCTGGCAAACGAACTTTCAAAACCTCCTAGAACGCTGGAGGACAGAGTGCATATATCTTTCGGAACTCAAGCATTTCTTAGTCCAAAGCGGCAAATTTCCCATGAAAGAGCTTTGAGACCTTATCGAGAGAAGAGTTGGTTTCCCGCTTAAATGATCGCGTCCAGCCAGGAGGCCTCCAGGGCATCTTGCCCTCGCGGGTCTCCCGCCTGCGGCCTGAGGGTGAAGGCCCCCTAACAGGGTAGGGCTGGTCAAGCAGGCTCTGCGCGCGCACGAGCTGCATGCACTGGGTTGGGCTAGTCCGCGATCTGCCAGTTTGGCGGCTGTTGAAGGGCTGGGAGCCTGCCCACTCAAATGAGGACCCTAGCCCTAAGTTTCACTGTCATCAAAGACTTCAGACAATAGAGTTCTCCCATTTAATTTTCTACTAATACGTTCGCAAGCCTTTTTAATTGCTTGCAAATGCATTTTCCCTGTACGGTTATGGAATCCGTATTGCCTATCGCTGCAAGGCTAAGGCGGAATAGAAATCTGTGGAAGGCTTTTGATAAACAGCTCAGAGGGCAGGGCAGGGTCGGAAAGGAGGAGGTAAAAAGGAAAAGAAAAGAAAAGAGAGAGAGAGAGAAGAGAGAAGTGGGAGGGAGAGAGAGAAGAGAGAAGGGGGAGGGAGAGAGAAAAAAAGAAAGAAAGAAAAAGAAAGAGAGAAAGAAAGAGAAAGAGAAGGAAGAAAGAAAGAAGAGTTTAAAAAATCGATGACAATCCTTAAACTGAAATAACTGGAAAGTCTGTCAGAAATGTTAATTTCCCCTAAACATTCTAAAGCTTTTTAAAAAAAAAAAAAAAAAAAAAAAGTCTGCCTTTTCTCATTTGCAATTAGGTAATGGATGCAGAGAGGTCCTTTTGTTGTCAAAGGTGGATTGGGGGTGATATACCTAGAGGAAAGGGAAAGGGAGGGATATTCAGAGACTGAAAGGAAAGTAAGCACTACGTTGGGAAGAAGTGGAAGAAAGGAGAAGCCCTTGAGTGTGAGCACTCACATTGTAGTTCCCTGACCTCAGCGCAGCGCTTGAGTGTGAGAACTCACATTGCAGTGCCCTTTGGCCCCAGCTGCCCATGTAACTGGGTCAAGTTTAGATGGCTTGCTCTTGCCCAGTATTTCCTTGATTGTTTGGAACATTTTTCTGCCCCCACTTTGTTTGTTGGGGGGTTGGTGAAAACCCAACCAATTTTTTGTCTTTCTGTCACCTGAAGGATTAGGCCCACTCCTCTACCCACCTCAACTGTGACTGGGAGAGGTTAGGTTAGAAGACACACACCACTGTAAGTGGTGGATCACTTACAGTGAAGTTTTGAGTCTTTAAAATTCTGAATAATTGAAACTCAGGCTCCTTGGGGATAGAACCCTGAGAAGTTACTCTGTGATTGGTTTTTGGAGATCCACAGCTGAGCACCTCTTGGAAGTCTATCCAGGAGAAGGTACTCAGAGGAGGGAATTCTCAAAGGGGTAGCTGAGTACCTGAGAGTGGTCAAAACAAGGACAGCCTTAGATAGGACACAGATGTCCTTTGGCTGCTCTTGATTCTTTAAAGACATCCTTTTTCATACAAGATATGGAGTGTAAAAGAGAGATGCTGAAAGCAGTAGGAGAAGTACACATATTCATATCTACACCTCTTGTTTTGCTTTGTGTAAAGAGCATCACCTACTACTTTGGATCCTCAGTGCACCACTGTTCTCCTAAACAAGTATTCTTTCAAAGCCAGAGGGTAGAAATAGGATCCCTATTGTGCAAACTCATGTCTCAGTTATGGAGCTGCATGCCCCACTGGAACAGAGCATACTAATTTCATTCTTAGAAAATGTTCACACATACTTGCTTAATGGTACAAATTTGATGAATTCAATCTCATATGTACTTCTCTCTAAAAGTGAAGGTAGGACAAAGGAAAGACATAAAAGAGGGAGAAAGGAAAGAAGGAAAAGGGAGGGTAGAATTGAGGAAGATATTCTGGTTGATTCATGTGTGTAAATATATTCAAGGAAATTCTTTTTTGGTAGAAAATGCCCAAATAATTGCAATTATAACTCTACTTTGCTTTAGTGTTACATGGGCAGTTTTGTGAGAGAATTTACTAAAGGAATGAGAACAAATTAAATCTAATTTGCAGGAGCAAAGGAAAAACAAGTAGCCAAAAAAGAAAACAAACCTGAAGGAATACATGTTTATTAAAGTTAGGGCTAGGCACAATATGGCTGGTCTTATTCACCAACCTCAAACAAGCCATGTGCAGCAGATCCTTTTAGTGATGATGTTTGAGATTAGGTCCAAACTTGCAGTACCAACCTAGAAGTTCAGAAAAGGGGCCTACAATTTTCAAAAATTGTCTTCCAGCCCTAGACCCTAATCTAAACAAAAATAATGCATATAAAGATTTCTTAGCAGATTCCTAAAGTAACTTCATAAGGGCAATCCCTCCTAGAGCATAAAACTAGAGCACAAAACTAGAGCACCAGGTGCTAAAGGGATACCCTTTTTGGCTTCTACCCTGCCAGGGTGGCAGGGCTTCTCCATGCTCTTGTGGGCTATTTTGAGTGGGCAAGTATTGACCTGGCCTCTGGCTGAGGCTAGAATGCACACCACTAGTTCTCCCATGGAGGGGGCCCCAGGCACCGCCCTGTCTCCAATATATTGTGGCTAGTTAATTCAATTACGCCACCCGCTGGAGAGTGTGTGGCCAATCATTCTCCAGGAAAGGGGCAAAACAGAGAAAGAGGAATTAACTTTGCTGAAAAGCCCAGACTTTGGGTCAAGCAAGATGGCACTTATTAATTGCTCAAGACTATTAATTGGATGGGAGGGGGAGAGGTGGGAGAGCTGTCTGACAAAAACAAATCCAGTGCATGCACATCACACACAAGGCACCAAACCACACACCTGCCTCAATGAATTTCTTTACAAAAGGGGCGAGCTGAGCAACCCCAGAGCAGATGGAAGGGAACACTGACCAGTGTGTGCATATGGCATGGATGATTTCCTCAATTTTTCTTTCAGGGAGAAACAGCTTTTTCTTTTTTCTTTTCTTTTCTTTTTTTTTTTTTTTTAAGTTAAGATGATGTGGGAGGGAGCAGTTGGCCAAGTGAAGTTTCTTTAAGGTTTAGATGCTTGTATAGGGAGTCTAGGACATGGGAACAGCGAAACTATTTCCAAAGATGGAGGCCCTGATGAAGTAGATCCCCAAAGTAAAAGTGATACACATTTCCTTCCTGATTTATATACCTTAATTGCAAATAAAAGGATTGTTCTCATTCTCTGTGATCTTTAGTTTTCTCCAAATCCAGGGCACAATAAAAGAAACTCTGGTTCTCTTTGCCTGAGTACCTAAAAGCCACTCAGGAAATGAGAATAGGAATGAGAATGAGAATGCAATGGAATGAGAATAGGGGGAAGGAGTAGAGAGGTATAGTTGCCAGTAACTCAGCGATGTCCTGATGCATTCAGATGGGTGGGGGCAACTGGAGGTCACTTTGTGGTATATACTCTGCTCAGGCTAGAACTTATTACTGAGAGTATTATAAGGCCAAATCATCTGAGTGCAGGGGAGCATGTGGCTCTTCCCTGGGACAGGGAAAAAACACATGGATCAAATACACTGGGACAGCAGGCGGAACAGGCAGCCAGTTTGTCCTGAGCCTCCTGGCTGTTCCCAGGGGACAGTCTCTGCTGCTTGGACTGAAGCCTGAGAAGAAAGTCCCTTTGCCTTCAATAAAGATATATCTGGCAGTTGAGGGGTGGGAGGGTGGGAAGGAGTATAGGCTGAGAAGGCGTCATCCTTTTCCATTAGAGCTTGGACTGACTGGGGAGTCAACATCATCCACTAAAGAAAGTGAATCTGACTATTCACAAGATAACTTGCATATTCTTCTGGGGGAAGGTTTGAACTTTATCAAGGGCAGAGATTTTTAGGGTAAAGTAATGGGGGCAGGCCCCAGCTACTATGGATAAAGATTATTTATTTCCTCTCTGGGTAAACTATGAAGGGCTGACTTAGACCTGGGAAACAAAGACTCTGATGCAAGCATTTTGGGATTCAGCCCCTCAGTGTCAATAGCACCTATCTTATCCCTTCTACTTAAAGATCAAGTTGGACATTCTCCCTTATCATCGAACTGACCTCTCTGTCTCCTGACTTCATTAGACCAAAATATGGAATCCCAAGAAGGTGGGGGGAGGCTGATGTACATTGAAATAGGGAGCAAGTGTTGGCTGCTGACCCCTGTGCAGGACTGAAGCATCTCAGATCTCCATTTCAGACAATGCATTTCAATTCTTGTCGTGTGCCTTTGTCCATTTGTATAAAGCAAAGAGCTCTGAGTGACAGCCCCAGTTAGCCTGCATGAGCAGATCCTAATAAACCCTCCCAAACCCCGACCCAAAAAAAAAAAAAAAAAAAAGCCACATGCCTGTTTGCCTGCGGCTCATTATTAAGACACCTTCTCAGCTTAAACACTTAAAAGCTAACCAAATGAAATGACAATTAAGACTGAATTACCCCTTCTATCTCTGAGATGAGTCTATGGGGCCAGCCAATTCTCTCTTAAGAAATAGGGGTGGAGAACAGACCTTGCAAAGCCTCAGTCTTGCCAGTTTATAGCCACTGCCACCCCCTGCAGGCACTAGACAACCTAGTAGGGGAAGCTAAATTTTGAACAAACTAAAGCTCAAAACTGTTTGAAAGTCAAGGAATCCACCAAAGAAATGGAGTAAGGTGTGTGCACTGCCTCCTTCCTGTTCTCTCTTTGTAAAATATAAAACTACAAGCACTTAAGGGTTATTTGGGGGGTAATGGTGTTCAAATACCTGGTTCCACTGCTAAATGCCCCCCCCCCTTCCAACCAATACTATTTACAAGGGAAGAAGGAAAACACAAAAGAAAAGGAAAATATGTTGGGTTTGGGAGTGAAAAACAATATTTACCTAAGTGTAGAATCTTGTCACCACGTCTTTATTCTCTTGCATTTTTCCTAAATTCATTGCCAGTTATACCACTTCTTTATGATGGAAACTTGGGACTGTCCCTCATGGTTATTTATTTTAAAAGCTGCTGAAAAGTGTAAGCCACCTCCTGGTGTTGCCTTTCAAAAGGGGGAAAGAACCCAAATTCGAAGTAAATGTGGAAAGAGCAGTATTGTTTCCACTTGGGCGAAAGCAGATACCCCAATCTAGGCAAAATTGATTCGGAAGCTTGTTGGAAAAAGCCAGTTCTCAGCATACAGGAAGTGGAGCCAATAGGAATGAGCACTTACCCATGTAAAAGGAAGCTTTAATTAATATATATTTCTATCTCTAATATACACATATTGGGGCTAGATCTCTATCTTTACAATAAAATGTGTGCAAATGCTCTCGGCACAGATGAGTCCCCACCTCAGTCAGTATAGAAAAGCATGATAAAGGTTGGAAAAAATGGATAAAAATGTTGAAAGAACCTCCAGTTCCTTATTAGGCGAAGATACAATATTTATTCCTTGTCTCCTGGGATAAATCTCTTCTGCCTATTGTCCTCCCAGTTCTCAGTGCTGATGCTTAATTTTCAAAACTTCTATATTACCAAGGGACCTACGACATCAGCCAAAGAAATACTCAGCAAGTACAAAATCTGTTCCAGGGAGCTGCTTTTGTGCAGAGGGAAAATTTTGTTCCTACAGGTTTTTAAGTGGGTACGAGGCAAGGAGCTATCTGATCCGGGCAAAACCATTACAATTTAGATCTCTATCTATAGAACATTTTTTTTTCCTTAAAAAAAATTGGAAAATACAAGAAGTTTGGATTTTTTTCCCGATTCTTTTTTTGGAGGGGGAAATTGCATCGTAAGCTTTTGGAGAAACCCAACATGTCAACTACCTTTCCGGGACTAGTCCACGATGCTGAGGTATTATTACTTTTTTTTTTTTTTTTTTTTTTTTGAGCGCGCGTGTGTGTGGCGGCGGCGGCGGTGGCGGCGGTGGTGGCAGCTTCCCCTGTCTCTAATCTATATTGGACCGTTACGTTTAATTATAATCTGGCTTTCAGGGGAAGTTAAGGAAGGGAAGGGGAGAAAGTTCGTTATGACATCTGTCGCCAGGAAGGGCAACTCTGTTAAGAAACATTTGCCATAATGAGGGAGAAAACATAATCCTAATAATAAGGGGAGGGTGCTGAGGAGAAAGAGAGACAGAAAAAGGATTCTCAGAAAGGCAAAGAAAAGGGACTGATGGGGGGCGGTAGGTGGACATGGGGGGTGGGGAACAACGCACCCCTTTTGGAACCGGTTTATTCAAGGAAAGGGAAGCAGAGAAGGTGGGTCGGATTCCCTCCCCCAAATGGTTGACTAAAGAAAGTGAGCAAGTTGAACGATTTGCAGAATGGATTTTTTTAAAAAATATATGGACAATGATTTTGAGTAGCCCTGGCCAAACATCTTGTCATGGACAGGATCAGAATTTCGGTGTTGGGATCTGGTTGGAGTGGCGACGCGCGGGAATAGCACTTTCTGCGTATGGGCTCTCTCCTGCTCATGGTGTCCCCGGAGTCAGTTGCAAACCTGGTTCCCAACGCCCAGCTCCCTGCACAAGTCGAGCAGGGGCTGGGTGTGTGTTATGTGTGTGCGTGTGTGTGCGTGTGTGATGTCGCCCGCACCTATATAGGGTGGGGGATTTTTTTTTCCCGCTCTCTCCACTGTGAGGACGAGGCCGCCCACCCCCAGTTCGCCTGTTCGCCAAGGCTCCCTAGCAAAGGCGCTGAGCCCCGGCTGCCGCTCTGCCCGAGCCCTGCTTACTCGCTCTCCTAGGAAAGCTAAAGAGAGCTCCAGGCTCTGGGAGAGTGGCGCCTTGGTTGTAAAATGACAAACCTCAAGTTTTTCTGCTCTCCCCTTTCCCCCTCTTCCTTCCAGATACGTCACGACGGATCAAACAGCTACCGTTTGATGCAGCTTGGCTGTCTGGAGTCCGTAGCCAATTCCACTGTCGCCTATTCCTCCTCCTCTCCTCTAACTTACTCTACCACCGGCACCGAGTTTGCGTCCCCCTACTTCTCCACTAACCACCAGTACACCCCGCTCCACCACCAGTCTTTCCATTACGAGTTTCAGCACAGCCACCCGGCGGTCACCCCCGACGCCTACTCTCTGAACTCGCTCCACCACTCGCAACAGTACTACCAGCAGATCCACCACGGGGAGCCCACCGACTTTATTAACCTGCACAATGCGCGGGCGCTCAAGTCCTCCTGCCTGGACGAGCAGAGGCGGGAGCTGGGCTGCCTCGATGCCTACCGCCGCCACGACCTGTCCCTCATGAGCCATGGCTCTCAGTATGGAATGCACCCAGATCAAAGACTCCTGCCAGGGCCCAGCCTGGGGCTGGCCGCCGCGGGAGCAGACGACTTGCAGGTAAATAAGCATGCAGGGAATTTGTCTGCGCCCTCCCCTCTTCGCCCTCCCCCTCCCACTCCATTAATACTCTGACAGTAAGTGGTCTCTCTCTCTCTCTCTCTCTCTCTCTCTCTCTCTCTCTCTCTCTCTCTCTCTCTCTCTCTCTCTCTCTCTCTCTCTCTCTCTCTCTCTCTCTCCACACACACACACACGAAACGTTATCAAAACAATTAGAGGAGGAGTGTGCCCATTCTGTCCCTCTTATTGGATCCAGGCTTTTCACCTAGAAGCGAATTAGTCCGGCTAGCTGCGGCCCCTACCTTTGGCCAGTACTCACAGAAGTCTTTTGTGAATCCACATTTCTGACCCCGAGCGGAGGGGTGGGGGAGATCAGGGAGGCTGGGTTTGAGTGAACTCGACTCAGAATAAGACCCGATGAGTTGATGACCAATCGCACCCTCAGTTTACATACTTTGCAGGGTCGGGTCTGCACTCCTGTTCCAGGAGCTCGTCTTCCACTGAGCCTGTGGTGATCTTGCTATGTAAGGGGGAAGGCAACTCGTTTATTCTTGGGAAATTGTTGGAACACTGAGCTTGAGTAAAAGTTTCACCAGACACATGAGATTGCTATGTAAAGTAAGAAATCTGTAAATGAAAACCTCGAAAATCAACCCCAAAGAAAGAATCTGCACAACGCACTTTGTCAGAGTGTAGCATTGAGTCTAATTCTCTGCGCCTGGTGTTTACCCACATTCACAGCCCTGTTGGATGACTCACATCATTATTTTTTCCTTTTCATCTCATTATGTTTTGCTTAAGATGAACTCCTTAAAAAGACACACGTGAGGAAATAGAGAAAGAGCCAAGGAAGCAAAAGAAAGAGGAAGGGAGGGAGAGAGGGAAGGAAAGGGAGATGGCAATTAGGAAGGTAGAGAGGAAAAAAGAAAATTGCTAAAACGAATTCAGACCCTGTGAAAACCTAACTCAATCAGATGATCTCTCTCCTATTTTCTTCCTTAAAACATTTTTTTGTACATTCTTTGCCAACAATAGAATTTATAATTATGCAATCATATTATCTTAGGCACATTTAAAACAACTAAACCCACAATAAGAATCTGAGAAACCAAAATTTGTATCTTCTTTTAGTGGAAAGTGCAGTTCTATCTGTGAGTCCCCATTTTTTCAGTTTGCCCAAAGCTGGCCAACTTCTCCCCACTCCGCAGGACGACTGGGGAGATATTCCAGGAGCATACGTTGGAGACGTAAGAGATCCCTTGTTGCGCACAGAAAATCTCCCCCCCTTGTATACCTATGAGCAAGGGATTATTTTTAAATTAAAGTGAAAGTCCTTACAGTTCCAACAAAGGGTCATAGCTGTAAGATCTATATGGAAGAAAAAAGATCTGGCTCCGTAAATTTTGACTTTCTACACTTATATTCACAAAATAATTTTATACGCTCAGGGCATTTTTACATTTTACACAAGGATCCCCTTATGTCTCAAGAGGGAAAAAAATCTGCCATTCAATGCTTAGCTCAACTAAAACCTATTTACTTCTTTTAATAGCCACGTCTGCTGCTGATTTTTTTGTATCTGTACAAATTTTTTTTCTGTGCTAGGCACAAAGCAGGGCATTTTTCAAAAGAGGGGATTAGAACATTTGCAAGCACCAGACAAAGAGAGAATCCTGTGCAAAAGGACACCGTAGTTTATCCAATTTTCGACTTAGTGCCATTCAACTGGTCATTTATGCAATGTCATCTGACCAAACAACATGTTTTACTTATGAGGGGGAAAAGTTTGTTAAGTGAAGGGACCAAGATTCATTTCTTCCAAGAAAATAAACATCTTAACAGAGTGGGAGGGAAAGTGGTTCTTTCCCTTGGAGAACTTCAAGGCCCTTTACTTCTACATTTCAGATATTTTGAAACATTTTCTTCAGCCTCTTTTTAATATACTTATTCTCTCTTTTCTTTTTTATAACTCATTCTAAAGTGACATTGCACATACTAAGGAAGGAACGACTCCAGGGCAAAAGATGAAACAGGGTATAATGTATGATAAAAAGTATATATATTTACATAGCTACATATATCTATAATACATGTCTGTGTGTATACACACACATGTATGTGAATTCTATGAAGGACATTTGTAAATCTGACAAGCTATTTTCTTCCACTCTTCCCAAACAAGTTAGCAGAATGAAAAAGAAAGAGTCATAACTACATTTAAAATGAGAAATGAGGAGGGAGTGTGTGGGAGAAGCCCGTCTCTCTCCTTTTATTTCTTCCTTTTTAGAACATTCATCAGCATATGCCTCATTTCAAATGCAACAAATGTAAATATACTTTTCCCTGCACAGAATTTTAAGTGAAAGTCCAATGGTTTGGAGGGCGGTCTAAGTCTGCCTAACAGATGCAAACAGTCTTGTGGCTTCAGTTCCATCTTTGAGTCCCCTAAAAAGATTTGCTATGGCCAACAAAGAAAACTGTCACACCTTTTCCCATCACCGCTTTAATTTATGCTCAGTCTCCAAGTTTTTTTTTTTTCATATTGATTTGATAATCACTTTAAGGCAGAACATTTAAAATAAGAAAGAGCTGGTGAGTAGGTTGAAAAGGGGGGTCTTACAGGCCTGCCTCAATATGGTGAAAATGGGGAGGCAAAAGGGAGCCAGGGCTGTAAAGGTTGTTTTGTAAAGTGGGTTTTTATTATGCACCGACTCTCTCCGCATTTACTTAACTCTTCACGGGCTGTTGGGTAGGTTAACACCCTTCAAGGCCTCTTTCATGTCCAATACCTCGTTTGTTTGTAAAGGAAAATGAGCCTTTAACACATTTTGAGTTAGGGGGAAAAAAAGACAGATGCAGAAAAAAATTTTTTTTTTGTAATCAAAAATCAGCAAATCCTTTCCACCTTTCCAGCTCAAGTGATTCCTCAATGCATTAGGAGCCTGAAGATCTACAATGAGTGGACCTGAAGGTATTTCCTCCATAAGGCCCATTTTGGGTAGCATATAGGACGTTTTTATCTTTGGGTAAAACAGGACCCTGACATACACATCTTGATTCCTGCATGTGAAATAGCTCCTGTGTGTTCCCAAGAAACCCACAACCCCAGACTTGATCTCCAGGTAAATTTTCTCCCCCCGTAAAGTGCTGAGTACACTCTCTGTATATATTCTATGTGCCTTGATGAAGACTCAAAGGGCTTTTCATTCTCTGATGCCAACATGAAAGGCTCCCAGGCACTTTGAAGTACAATATTGTATGGTGATATAAAATGCATACCTTAAAATTTATACAACTTTTAGATTGTGGTTTTTCTTGCATTTTTTTTCTTAAAAATGTTTTCTGGCTACCTTGTCCTAGCTCAATGATTGCTTTCACAGGTCTACTGAGAAGGGGTTGAGGGATGGACCAGTCTGAAAAACTACCCACATGACCATACCTATCATATCTCAGTGATTTTATTTTATTTTTCTTTTATTAAGGGCTCTGTGGAAGCCCAGTGTGGGCTCGTTCTTAATGGCCAAGGTGGAGTGATAAGAAGAGGTAAGTAAGAACATTTTATTCTAAACATTCTCCTCTTATCTGTTACTTTGCTTTGAAGATCTGGTGTGGTTTTAAGCATTGAATTTCTTGTCTGCTCATTAAGAAAACAATTACTCTTAGTCAGTTATTCAAGTTCCATACAGGCATATTCACATTTAACATTTTTCTTTCTTCCATTGAGGCTTGAACACAGGTTAAGCCCAAGAGACTTGTGCTAGGCAATATCTGCTGCTCCTCACAGAAGTGACAGAATCAAAGTTAGAAGAGGGGGGAAACACTGAAAAAAAAACCCAACTTTTCACACCCCCTTCCCCAATCATCAATATCACATCCCCGAGCAGAATTTCTGGTCTCTTTTAGCTCTAATGTGCCAGCCACAGCCTGAGTTTTTGAGGTGATGGTGTTAGCTTGAGGCTTTGAGGGATTCTGTGAAAGGCTAGATCATTGAGGCTTTAGAGGAGGCTAATGAAACACCAATATTGTAGCTGCCTTATTTTCCAAATGTCCAGAACATTTCTTTCTTTAAGGGAGGGTGGGAGGAGGCGGTAGTGTTAACTGTACCGGATAAAGCTTTCTTGTTCCCATCTGTTGAGGAAAACATCTGAATCCAGAGTTACCCATGGAATTGGAAGGTGGGGGGAAGGCGAGAGAAGAGGAGAGTGCTGTTGCTTTCAGCTCAAGCACTGAAGGGGGCTGCATCTCAGATGTTCCGTTTTGACAAAAGGTTTTGAACTATGACATTCACAGGGCCTCAAGGCACTGCAGATTTTGCTGGCTTCCATGCTTAACTGTACCCAGAGCCTCTGAAGTTTATTTTTCTAGCATGCTGAGTAACCCAAGGAGCACACAAGGCAAGAGGGACCAGCTGTTATCCCAACTTCATACGAATTAATAAGATGTGGCCTATTCACCAGGACTAATTCCTGCTCCAGGGCCACAATTGTCGTTAGTAACCAAACCACTAAAACTGAGTTACTTCTGATGGTACCAAATTAATGTGCTCCAGTCACTCCCTATTTCTTTGAAAACTTCTTGAATGATTTGATTTTTCTGAAGAGAGACATGTGCTGTGAGAAACAGAAGATTCTTTTGTGTTTAAACTGTAGATCTCCTGAAGCAATATGCAATATGAACACTTAAATTCAAGAGGAAAGAAAACAAAGGGTGTTTTACTTTTCGAACTTGGCTACTGCTGCCGTGTATGTTTGGAGTTTATGTTAAATTTAAAAGAGCTATTCACCACTTGTTTCACCTTTCAGATATTTAAAAACTATTTTTAAAAAAATGTCTGATATTGCTCTGCACAATTTTGGGTGTTTTGTTTTGCTTTGTTTGTTTGTTATGAGCAATATTAAGCTTGCCAGTACTCAGGCATATTGTAATGATATGAAATAGGCCCAAGACTAGTGAATATGAAAATTAAACATATATACTATTGGGCAGGTAAAAATTACACAGTAAAAAGGGGGACCCGTGAGACTCACGTGCTGATTGGGATCATTTGAGGCAGGCAAAACTAAAGGTGAGGCCCAGCGCTCTGGGCGCACAGAGATGTCGGTGGTGCTGAAGGACAGCGCCACTAATTAGGGACCGCAGCCCGCTCCTCAGAGAGGAGTAGCTCGCGCTACTACAGTTTTTCCATGCAGTTCCGTACTAAGATTGCCTTCCTTGATGCTTGAAAATTACATCCTATTGCACACTAGGTGACAGAGGGTGGAGATTATTCAAGGATGAGGATGGGAGGCCTCGGGTGTGGAATCAGTTGAATTGGCATAGAAAGGTTTAGGTGATATCCCCTCACACGTTAGCATCCTTCCAAGAAATGCAAAAGATTTAAGAGATTTAAGAGAAAAGAAATGCAAAAGATTTAATCTACAAGGTGCAAGCTGAGGTCTTTCCAGAGCCACAGAAATTGTGTTCCATAGGTGATGTTTTATTTTTCTTGTAGTACTCAATACCTATTTTTTAAGTTAAAAAAGCATTTCTTAACCTGCTTTTTGAAACAAAAGGTTGATTTTGTAGGAAAACAGCATAACTCCAAAGATAAAGGAAATGTCACTTGGTGTTTATGTCTGTATTGTTAGACTAAACCTTAATCCTCCACTTCGAAGAATTCAAATTTTAGCTGCCGAATTTATTTCATTTTCACATGTTTTAGAGAAAGGCCAATTAACCTGTTTGAACCCTGAAAGATGTATGTCTATATGTATTGGTTTACCCTGAAACTATCAATATTCATGACAGTTTAAAAGTGGATATCAAGGAAGGGATATATGTTTTGTCAGACCCTGCCCTGCCCCTTATCTAAGGATTCTTTATTTTTAAAGAAATTCTTAGGAAGCTCCTTCTCTCTATGGTCACAGTTATGAATAAGACTCCAAATATCAATAGCTTAGATCAGTTTTGTCCATCAAAAATCAGGAGGACATTAATTCCAGAACTCTGCTTTTCTGCAGTCCCTCAAGTAACCCAGTGTTGTCTTACAGTTTAGATGAGAATGTGTTTATTTTTCAATCCATACTTTACAGATACTTCCTTGTATAAAACAGGATTTCTTGAAAAACACAACTTTTCTACTGTTTTCTGGTTTTGGCCAAATTCTTGGATAAATTTGCATTTCTAGTGGTATCCAGAATTTACATTGCAAGAAAAATAAATCTCACTTTCAAAGACCCCTTCGAGTGTTTTTCTTGAAGAAAGATACATGCCTGTGTAGTTTACATGAATTCATCATGATGAAACTATCCTGATTTGCAAGGGGGAGAAGGAGTTAGGGGCCGTTAGTTATCTTAAATTTGGCTACTTGTAAAGAGCAACATGCCATTTTCTGATTCACTTTGTTAAGTAGAAAACATTGTTTGGGGCCTATAATGAGAGCCTGATATCCAAAAAAAAAAAAAAAAAAAAAATGCGTGAAGAGGAGTTATCAGCAAGGTAATTACCACCTAGATAAAATATTTGCCACCGCCTCGAAGGCGCAGCTCCCTGCGCGCTCACTCTCGGTTAATGGTGTGCGCGATTTTGCCCGCAGCTCCTCCACTCCAACCATCAGAACCAATAATCTTTACTTTACCCTGTGCTCGAGTATCGATAGCTTCTTTCGCCTCGGGCGTTGGCTTTGATATGTTAATATTTCTGAGTAGCAAATTCTGCAGAGATCATATTAATGTTGTACGTACAGAGTGGAGCTTTGCCTTCGTTGAATATTCAGACACTGGGTTTCAAAAGGCATCTCTTGAAGAAATGAGGCTTCTATTTACAGGAGTCGTCTATGTTTTTAATCATTAAAAAAGAAGAAGAAGGAAGGAAGGAAGGAAAGAAGGAAGCAAGGAAAACTCACTCTTCTTTTCCCGGTGAATCTTCCTTACCGCCCCACCCCAAACCCCTCCCTTTGTCAGCCGCTGGTCCCTTTCATTTCTCGCTCAGACGTTAATAATAAGTGAACAATGTTGATGATGACGACGACGACGAGGAGGAAGCTAATAATGGATCCAGATTGGAATCAAACAGGGTAGGGTTTCAATTGGATAGGGGACTGTGGCCTTCAGATGAGGATAGAGGTGAGATGAGAAAACTCAGCCTTTCCATATGTGGGTGGAAAGTGACATTTTGGCCCTGGTCTCTTTTGTGAAATCGGGATGGCAAAAAAAAAAAAAAAAAAAAAAAAAAAGCGGGGGGGGGGGGGATGAAAAAAGTGAAGAGGGGAAGCGCCCTTGTTTCGCTTTGTGATCATTCTGCCTTGCAGCCCCAGGCTAATTTCAGAAGCTTAAATACCGCTGTAGCCTCTGGGCCACGCGGAGAGGGAGCGGACCCGGCCACTGGCAGGCAGGAACGCTTTCCCTATTGCCCGTGGCTACACAAAATACAAACTACTTTGAATCAAAACATTTTTGGGGAATTAATATGATTTGAACTCCGCACGTTTTAAGCGAGCTGGAGTTTGTCAGATCGCTTAGAGGTGACTGGCACTCCGAGGCGGAGGCATTTACGCTGAGGACAAACATTGTCAGATCTGATTTAATTTTTTAAATAATATTGCCTTGAAACGCTGCTTTAGCTTCAATCGCCCTGACTGCCAATAATAGGATGGATGGAACTGAATGCCTTCCCCTATTTTGCCGCCCTTGTGGCGGCTCACGTACTCCTTGAGCAGGAGGATGCTCCTTCTCTGGCTGCTTTGGGTTTCTAGAGGGCCTGAACCTTGGAGTCCCCGGTTGGAAAGAATCAGTGACCATTTCAGCAGCTCCTGGAAGGGGTAAAAATCAAGGGAGGGAAGACTTGTTCCTCTTCTTTGTTAGCACCCCCACTCCACCCCTGCCCCCAGTAAAAAGCAGGTACCCTGAATCTCTCTTTCCTGGAAGTCGCCAGAATTCCTTTCTGTGATTCAACCTTTGTAGGTGAGAACGATCCAGAATACACTTTGAGCCTCATCTTCTGCCTTATTCCCCTAAAACAGATTTGAAGTTCAATCTCTATTATATGAATTCTAAAACTTGTGTATAAAAGTACCCAGAGGCCTGATTTGTTGGACTTTGGTGGTGGTGGTGGTGGGGTACTTTCCCATAGTCTGCTATCTTCTCTCCCGGTTTCTTTACTGCTTGAAAACTCACCAAAATCCAAAGCACTCTGTGCATTGGGGAATGGAGATTAATCCTCCACACACACCATAACGCACACCACCACCATTAAACCAGCCATTGTCTGGGTGCAAACCTCCCTTTCTTTTGTTCTGCCGGGAATCTGCACAGGAAGGAATTTATTCAGCCATGGTAATCCCGTTATACCTGTAATCGGAGTATCCCTCCTCCGAACAGTACAATCCGTTATGACGCATCATCAAAGGCCAACTAGCTGGCAATTAAGTACCCACCCCATTGCGGTTTGATTACAATTAATATCTGCTGCCTTGGGGAGAGGAGGTCACATGTGGGAGGAGGATTGAGAAGGGAGAAAGGCTAGAGGAGAAGCAGCCCAGAGAACGATACTACCCCACCCAGCTCACACGCGCAGCACACCTCGCAGAAATGCAGCTGCAGAACTAATAAGGACAGGAAACTCTTGTAATCGCTTACACATTTTTAATGTGTCAGGGAAAAAAAAAAAAGAGCGATCACTGGAGATGAAGAAGGGGAAGAAAAAAAATCCCTGCCGTTTGTATTTCTTTCATTTGAATTGTAAACATCTGTTTGGCTGTAAGGCGAACAGAACATTTATTTTGCTCCCAAGATTTGGTCTAATTATGTCAACACCAACGCGGCGATGAGTGGGGCGGTGCAGCGACTTTGGAGAGGCTGCGCGCTTGGGCCCAGCGCCCGGAAGCTCGACAGGAAGTATTGATCGCACCTGGAGAGCGCTGGGGACCTCTTAACGCAGCTGGGTGTGTTCTTAGAGAGGGGCTTGAGGGCGGTGAGACCAGTTTGTGGCTCAGAGCCGCTTTCGGCGCTCCCAGGGAACCACAGCTCCTTGGAGGCAGCCGCCGCTCTTTCCTCTGCCCTAACTGCTGGGGATGAGAAGAGGAAAAGCGGTCCCAGTCGCTAGAGCTTGGCTTTCCTGTTCAATTGCAATGCAGAGGGTGGGTGGTTTTAATGTAGCGCCTCAGATCTCACCCTGCGAAGTGGTAAATTGCTCAACACAATAGCTGTGTTGGGCAGCCTTTGCTCAGGTAACTGAGCACGCGCGTGCGCACGTTCAATTCCCATTTTCCCTCCTCATCAGCTAGAGAGATAAGTAGAGCAGTTGTGAACAACCTCATAGTTCAGATCGATTGAGACCCAGATAACTACTCTCCAAGATGCTTGGGTCGCTAGTTGACCAAGTTTGTACTTGTAGCCCAGTACTTTTTACAACATTCCACAGTGTGCCTGCAGACACAAGGACAGATGTCCCCAGATTTGCCAAGAAGAGTGTAATCCCAACCTTCTTCAGACTGTGCAGGATCTAACAAGGTATGACAGCTGAAGGATCTGCATTGATGTATTCTGTGCCTGGTTTTGTCACCCCCACAATCTTTAGCTAGCTTATTCCTTTTGCTTTGGCAAAGTTATTCCTTTTTTCTAAAGTCATAAACTAGACAAGTGACCTTGAATATATAATTCTTGATTTCTACATTGTTGCTATAGCTGCTCATTAGAGTTTGCAATATCACTGGAACTAGGGAGTCTTGTTTCCAACTTTGAAAATAGTGACCTTCATGTCTTTATTGCTTCTGTGCACTATTAATGGAAAAGAGATGAACTCTGGAATCTTGCATGAACACTCTGGTTCTGGCTGCAAAGACATCCCTAACTAGGGTGCTGAATAAAAAATGAGACCACATAACTCAATGAAAGCTGACATGAAACAAAGGTACCATGATGAACTTCAGCCAGTAACCCTTGTTTATAGCTTGATGAGGTCCACTCTTTTATGACTTTCCTTCTCTGAGGTCTCATCATGCCATCTGTAGACTGGGTCCCCATAGAGAAGAACTAACCCCTCACTATTGTCATTGCAAATGCAAAACTTTGGTTATGTTGACTTTTTCCTACCTCCATAAAAAGTGAAAGATTGAAAAGAAAGATATCAGGTTCCCCAAGTTGCTGTAAACTCTACAAGTTGCCAAATCTTTAGCCAGAACAAGAGAGTTCCCCAAGGCTGCAGCAATGCCAAGTATCAAAGCAACAGAAATTCCCTTTAAAGATGCTGTGACATAAAAAATAAAAGACTCTAGAGTTGATGGCTAATCCTGAATACAAAATAAATCCTTCAGGCAATTTGTGTGTGCATAAAGCATACTGTTAATATGCAGCCTGTGTAATTTACCTAATACATGCCTATTTGAGCATAAGCCAGAAACCCAAACTGGATGTAGAAAAGTCTCAGGGCTCAGGGAGTTAGCACATTACCAGGTAGCAGACTCAGTGGTATCGCTGGGAGCAGCTGGCTTTCAGCACATGGCATTCACTTTGTCAAAAAGGTGGTAGTTTTCTAATGGAAAAGAATTTTATTTAACTTCTTTTACAAAAATGATGATCATTGGCATTTCTTTAAATCTGGTGTCTAACACACTGAACATTAAAGAGAAAAAAGTTCTAAAAAGAGAGGAACACTCTAAATTGTGTCCTTCTCCTTCCTTAGCAGCTAGCAAAATCATATGTACATTTGCTCAAATGCTTTCTTCTCCCACTCATAATAAACTTGGGACTGATTGGGTGAGATTCCTTTTTCCCTCAAATATATACTGGCTAGTGTTTGAGAGAGGAATGTTAATGGAAGAATATAAATTTACTTATTATTCATATGACTGTGGGTAAGTACCTTTTCTAGAGAGGGCTATGTGAATTTTGAATATAGACATCGATTTTTATTCTTGAGGTTTAATATTTTTCTTCACACTAACCTAAATCCTAAAGTAATCAGAGCCATGATTCTCACAGTATGACTCTAAACAGCAAATTTATTTATACTCATTTTGCTCTCCTGTTCAACTTTTGAAAAGTGACCTTTGTTTATTTTTTTTAAGTGCATTTTGGATCTATAGGTACCAAGGTAAAGCATTAATGAAAGTGACTGTTAACCTCAGACCCAGGAATCTGGGAATTTGTTTTTACTATGATTTTTACTATGTTATTTACTGGCTTAAAATCCTCTCTGGGAAGTGAAGTGCAAAAGCACAGGTGGATTTATGTTTTCATCTCCTGAAGAAGGGGAGTTATAGTCTTCTGTAGTGTGGGCTACAAGTTTGACTCCACGCAATGGACCTGAGTTTGGCAGTTGAGGTTATGACTTCTCAGATGTGAAACTGAAAATAGGTGCCAGGAACTGGCATGAAAATTTTGGCTAAATATAAATATAAATATGTTGCAGCCTGGAGAGCCTTTGCTGACACTCTGAATGTCTTACCTTTTGTTTTAGGGGTCATTCAGGGATACTGACAGCCTTAGAATACTTAAGGAGAAAGACCTTGGTCTTTAGCACTTTCCAAGAAAATTTGGATGACAGTTAAACAGCCAGGAAAAATTCCCCAAATTGCAGAGGTGTAAATAGTTTAAAAGTGGGGCAAGGTTAGCTAGCCCTCTCCTCCCCTGTCAGGGGTCCTTCTGTCTTTCTAAATGTTGTCCAGGTTCTTTAGGCTTCCATGAAAGGAACATGCCTAAATCTGACTGCCAGAGACTCCCCTCATATAAGTCACTGTGCTGCTTAGTAATACATGGTAGGAGTTACCTGGGAAGCAAGTGGAGAGTCCTAGTCTGGTGCTTCTCAAACTTCAATGAATATATGTACTAACAGGGGGTCTTATAAAGTGCAAATTTTGACAGAAATTCTGAGATTCTACATTTCTAAAAGATCTCTTCCTGTCAATTCTGCCTCTATTTATGTATGTATGCATTCGTTCATTCATTCATTCTGGGAGTGCTCCATCAATGAGTTACATCTCCAGCCCATTTATATCATATTATATATATATATTGGTGGGGGGACAGGGTCTTACAAATTATCCAGACTGGCCTCAAACTTGAGCCTCCCAACCTGCTGCAACCACAGGCATGTGCCATTATGCCTGGTTCCGATGCTATCTTTTGAGGACCACATTTTTAGTAAAAAAGATCTTGGACCACACTTTTTTGCCATTTTTCTTCCTTTTTTCCACTCATAGAACTCAATCCTTTATTGGAAACGAGTCTCAAGATTGCCCATAACTTAAAAAAAAAGCCATAGCATGCTCAGAAAAGCCAACTTGAATTTGAATTCACCACTAAACCTTAAAAACTTTCCTCATAAGGCTCAAAGCAAGATGAGGTAGGCTTGCAGTTCTAGAACATAAAGCCACCATCCTAGCAAGGGGGACATTGGCCTAGAACTTTTACAGTGAGTGAGAAATTTGCCAGCAAGAACTTTCCTCACTGATAAATCCCCTTAGGTCCTCAAGTCTACTTCAGTGGGTGAGATTACAGAATATCCTGTGCTGTACCTGAAGCAAGGTAAAGCTGAAGGGATTTTTTGGACCCTGGGAACAGGGTCCAAAACTCCAGCATGTCAAAATTCCTTTGATGATTTTGCTATTAATAGTTCCCTTTGCTTTTCACTCTAATGGTAATAATAAAAACAACCATAGCAATAATATTATTTATAACTGACATTGTTACCATGTTCAGATCTTGTGGTATATTTTCCTGTGTGTGCCAGTTTACACATAATAAAAGAATTTGACCTGTCATTGCCTGTATGGGTTAGAAGTTTCTGGCTATAAGCAGATTATTTTTAGTAATATGTCAAGATTGAATGACTGTGGTGCCTTTAATTATTAGGTGGATGAGGGAAAAGAGATGGAATTCTCAAACATTTTGGAAAAGAAAATAAATCACGCATAAAAAGTTTCTATCCATGTATGTGTGTGTACACATACAGATACAACCATGGATAAATAACACTTACCTTTCATGTGGTTGACTACTAGAATTGGGGTTTTCAATTAATAGTGGTGTTTAATTAATTGAAGTGTTTCTTGGTGTGACTGGTGAGCCAGGCTGTATTCCAAAAGATGCCAATTTTCTCTAAAATTACCATTGTATACTCACAACCATTTTCTGTGTGATATTGAAAAGACGAAACTCTGGTTATTATTTGGAAGGACATCTTCAAAGGAGCTCTCTGAGATAATGTGGGTGATTTATAAGTACAATTGCTGTCACGTACTACTTAATATCAAGTGGTCCCTTGATATTAACTGCCTCTCATATACTTTTCTTCTCCTGCCTTCACTAACATGTTATATACTTTTTCCTCCCAAGGTGGCACCTGTGTGGTCAACCCCACAGACTTGTTTTGCTCTGTTCCTGGTCGTTTGTCCCTTCTCAGTTCTACTTCCAAATACAAGGTGACCATTGCTGAGGTAAAGAGGCGGCTCTCACCACCCGAGTGCCTCAATGCTTCACTCCTGGGAGGCATTTTGAGAAGGTAAGTTAGCACTAGTTTCAGCACTGTCTGTCTGTCTGCTAACTACTGATGCCACACCTTCAACCCTCAGTCCTTATGTCTTCCACCCAATGTATTCTCCATGTCGTCAAGTCTTCTCACAATTTTCTCCAGAATGTGAACTTTCAAAACCTATTTTTATTTGTTGTTGGACAGAGCAAAATCCAAGAATGGAGGCCGCTGCCTGAGAGAGAAACTGGATAGACTTGGCTTAAATTTGCCAGCAGGAAGACGGAAAGCAGCCAATGTTACTCTCCTTACTTCCTTAGTTGAAGGTATGATTTTTTCAGTACTGTCAAGCAATGATGGAAGGTCGAAAATTCTTTGATAGTCAGGTTTTTTAGATTATGTTATTTTACTTTTTTATGCTATTAAGCATAGTTACAGGTGAGTTTCCTAATTAATCTTGGCAATGATGATTAAATTTGGCTTAATATAAGACTTAAATTATTCATAGGATGTTAATTAACTTACTAATTTTAGCAGTATTAGGGAAGAAGACAATGGAAGACAATGGAATATTCTCCAAATATTTGCTAAATAATAGCAACAAAAAACTGGCTATCTATTTCATTTTTATTATTTTAGAGTATAGACAAATCTGATTTAATTTATTATAATTCAGCACAACATGATCTGCAGTATAAATAATTCTTTATGAAGAATTCACAGAAGTCTAGGCATGATACTAAGGGCAAAAGTACATTGTGTTAATCCTAGTAGATATCTCTTGAAGCACAGTGAAGTTCCATGGCTTTATGGTGGGATACGTTGGGTCAGAAAGGTGAAGGTTAGCTAGTGGGAGAGAGAGAGAGGTGGAAAAAAATTCCCAGAAGTTATTTTTTCCCAATTTACATATTCTCCTTTGTTTTTTTTATTCTATAAGGACTAAACTTTACACTTTCTCATACAATCTTCTTTTAAGGAGAATTATTAGGTACTTAGCAAAAAACTTTGTGGGGATAGTTTTTTAATGTCAAAGAAAAGTTCTTTCATAACCCAGAAGGCTATGGTTTAAAATGTGAGTGACAGGGGCCTTTTGTGCTAAGCCTCACCTGAATGCACCTTTGACACTTTTCTACCATTGGTTATTCGCCAATATGGTACTATAGAGAGTGGTAAGTGACCGAAACACAAAAACAAACATCTTGACTTTTTTCTATATTATTAATACACAATATTTACTGTTCAATGTTAAAATTTAGTGAGATATTTACATTTATCTTGAGAAAATTGCTTTAGGGATTGTGCTACTAACAATTGTCTTATGTGCTAATAGCAATAATGACAACAATCACAATATTATTTATGACAAATATTTAGTAAGAATTACTCTTATAGGTTGAGCACCCCTTACTCAAAAATTCAAAATCTGAAATTTTCCAAAATTCAAAACTTTTTAAAATTCCAACATGATGCTCCAAGGATTTTGAAGAATTTTGGATTTTGGATTTTCATATTAGAGATGTCAACTGGTAAGATATTTGCAAATATTCCAAAATTTTTGTCCTAAGCATTATGGTTAAATGATACACAACTTATGATGTTTAGATCTTGTGCTGTGTTACCTGTGCTTGTTGATACTGAGGGCTGACCCATGGTAGGGTGACTTGACTTATCCACACATGTTGGCTGGGAGAACTGAGGAAGAGCAAAGTAAAATCATCATCATCATCATCATCATCATCATCATCATCATCATTTGATTCTAAAGAGAGATGGATTCCTGCTCAATTTAAATAAAAATATTAAAATTATAGCTATTTTTAAAAAGAACAAAACACTTGTTGAGGATAGAATAAAGGAGATTTAAGAATTTATGTGGAGCCAGGTGTGATTGTGCATGCCTATAATCTCAGCAACACAGGAGGATAAGGCAGAAGTATCACAAATTCTCTACTAGCCTAGGCAACTTAGTGAGACCCTGTCTCAAAATAAAATTAAAAATGTCTGTGATGTGGCTCACAGTAGAGCACTTGCCTAGCATCTCTGAAGCCTGATACTGCAAAAACAAAAAACAAACCAATAACACATGTAGATGGTCATTATTCTCAAACCAAACAATGTGGAAAAATCAAATGAGAAGGTGTGTTTAAAAGTGCTTTGGCCCCATCACCGAATTAATTGAAATTCAGTGTGGGGTATGACCAGACTCTCCAGGTGATTCTGATGAATGATAATATTTAAGTAAAACTGATGCTTCTTGGGATTCTTTTCACTTCCCAGGATAGATTGACTATGAATTCTCATAAAATTTGCAACTTTCATGAAAAGTAAAGATCTCAAAAAAAGACCTCTCTCCTGAGAGTCTTGAAAGTAATGGCCAGTACACATAGAAGATCCATAGAGAGTATGTTCACAATTATCCTTATTGATTTCAAGTTAGTCATGAGCACTGGGGTATCCTGTATAGGAATCATCTGTCCATACTAACCAAATGGGTACGAATCAAATATGAAATCCTAGAATAATCCCTGGGGTCTTTGATCATACCTTCCCTATCACAAAAGTGCCTTGCTTGTGTTCTAGTCATATGGCTCTGGCTCACTCTTAACAACAAACCTGGGATAAAGAAACTTAAGATTTTAATTGAGTGCTTATTGAAATCCCTCAAAACTTCATAATGTAGACAATCAAATCTGTTAGTGATGAATTCCAGGCACTTTGGTGGAACTTTGGAACAGAGGTTTAGGGACAAAGGGACATTTTGCATCCTTCAGGGGCCCTTGTATTATGACCCTCAAACTTATTTTCATGTACAATTTTTAAAGTTCCACAAGTTTGAACAATATTCTTGATATCTTTTTATTTTGTGTTCTTTTCAAATGCTAATTGTAAATTCCCTAATTTTCATAAATCACTATTAAGGTCAGGATTCATGACCAATAGTATCAAAAACTACCAGTTACATTAAGGCACGAGGAGAACCTAATATTAGAAGAATATGGATATTTCATGTAAACTGAACTGGCTTCATTATAACCCTGGGCTGACAGGAAGAACAGCCTCAATGTTGAGGATTCTCCTGTACCTATTCTTCCCCATATTTCAGTTGGTTTGGTGGCAATGGCTGAAAACTCTTTTCCAGACAGCAATGCCATGTTCTGCACTAGGCTCCTGGCCTTTGAACTTCTGCAGGCAGGGTTGGATGTACACAGAGAAACGGAAACCCAACACTGATTTATCAGTCTCCTGAGACACTTAAATAGTTGATGCTTTTCTTTAACAATTCTGAGACTTTGATCCTTTTAGATCCAGAAAGGATCTGAAGTTTGTTCTGTTTGTATAGTTTATCATATTTACCATTTGATAAATGATCCCTTGAATTGAACATGCCTATGGTTGATATATTTTTTTCTCCTTAGTCAAATATTTTTGTAAGAGCCAGCAACATTTTAGATATTTTTTGGAAATTTTGAAACTAGATTCCTAGTCATCAAAAATGGTCCATCAGGGGCTGGGGCTATAACTAGGTGGTAGAGCACTTGCCTAGAACATGTGAAACACTGGGTTTGATTCTCAGCAGCACTACATGAAAGTAAATAAATAAAATAAGAGTATTCTTTCCATCTAAAACAACATTTTTTTAAATGTTCCGTCAGCTTTCTTAAAAACATAAAGTTTGTGGAAAAGAGCACTACTCTTTTTTTTTTCTTCAGTTTTTTATTGATATCCCTGCTTTACCACCTGAATTTCCTACACTAACACATATATGCATTTTAATCACCAATAGCAAGTAATTTTGATTCTTTTAAAAGTGTTTCTTAAAATTCATATAGAGTAGCCTAGCCAAGCTGAGAATATTAGTTTCTCAAACAGCTTGGTGACCCAATACATTACTAGTGTTCAATCATCTCCCCACATTTTGGTACAGTACATGAAACAAGAGAGAAAAATGCTCAATTGACATTATTTCTGATAGATCAGATGTAAAAATAAATCCAATGAAGTTCAAATTTCCATGACTTTATAGCCATAACAAGCTCTCAATGCAGAGATGATATAATCTTTATAAAGATCCCATCAGTAAAGAGTAAGGTGTTTCATGATGGGTATTCAAATTAGCAAATTAACACTTGTTTTTCAAAAACAGCCATTACTGACTTTGCAGGATATTCTTGGGTTTCCATGCTCACCTTGGATTTTTAATCATTTTGTTTTAAATTATTTTAAAAACAATTTTTCTATGTTTCTATTAAGTAGACTTATTCTACTGATACTTCCATCCCATAGCATTGTTCTTGATTCCACATTTTGGAGTCATTATTTTAAGAGGTTATTTGGGGAATTTATAAAACAGGGCTGTTTAATGTAATTCTGTAATATATTTTAATAATTCAACACATCTCTGCTGCAAATATCATCATAGCTTGTAAGCAATGGGATAACTGATTAGAACAATATGTCAGACTCTTTTTAATTTATCAAACTTCTTGAGAAGTGATTATTTTCCTAAGGCAGGCATTTTGAGTGTTTTTTGTTTTTTTTTTTTTTTTTGTGGAGGGGGATGGGATGGTCACAAAACATGGAACATTTAATGGAAACAACATAAAAATATTTCAATCTAGAGTCCCATGAATGTAATACCTGATCTTACTCCCTTTTCAACCATATGTCTTCACCTAAAGTTTCAGTATATAACTATCATTTATGCCCAAGTTCTCTTACCCTATTTTCTTATAAGTCTGTTCTCTACATTTCTCCTTGTTAGTCACACTACTCTAATTTTTCCTAATTCCGTTCTAGTGTCTATAACACCAGAGAGACATCATTCTCTGGAATCTGTGGTGGCTTAGCATTGCTTAACCTAATGCACTTATCTTCCTGAGGAGACATCAGGAAATTTCCAGACTTTTCTGCAATGGAAACACTCTATCTCTAGAAAACATTCAAAGAATTTGGCCAATAATATTGTTCTAGTCCTAACAGTCTTGCTATATTTTTACTAGTTCTGAACTGGCATGTTCTGTAGCTTCCCCCTGCATTTCACTCTGGAACAACTTTTGCAGAGCTGGTGGTCAGTGATCCAGTCAATGCTGTCCATCACTCCTCCCCTGTGGTTTTCCATGGTGTCTAACATTGTAGAGTGTTGCTTGGAGGAAGTTCTGTTCATGTGCGTGAGATGCTTTCTTAGAACCATTTTGCTGCTTTTAGAAAAGTCCATGTACCATTCTCAGGCACTATTCATGGTCCAGAAAGCATAGTTTATTTATTCTCTTTAGTAATAAATACCTTGAGTGTCCATTTGTTGTGACAGGAGGTAAAAATCTGTGGT